GCCCCACGCAACTCAGACGTGCTGAGCGACGGCAGTTCACAGCGGCAAAGCTGCTGCAGATTTGCGTTTGCCATTGCAAGACCGTTGCAAATCTGTGTTTGCAACGGCAAAACTGCTTTTTGCAAACAGGTTTGAAGTTGCAGTCGCCAGGCCGCTGGGAGTTTACAGTTGCGACCACAAAAACACTGCAGACTTGTAGCTGCAATCACAAGAGTGCTGCGGATTTGTGTTTGCAATCGCAAGACCGCTGCAGATTTGCAGCTGCAATTGCGAGACCGCTACAGATTTGCAGCTGCGACCACAAGAGCGCTGCAGATTTATAGTTGCGATCGCAAAACCGCTGCACGTTTGCGTTTGCGATCGCAAGACCGCTACAGAATTGTTTGCCATCGCAAAACCACCGCAAACTTGCAGTTGTGATGGCGAAACCGCTGCAAATTTGTGTTTGCCGTCACAAAACCTCTGCAGGTTTGTGTTTGCGATCATAAGAGCGCTGCAGGTTTACAGTTGCTATCGCAAAACCCCTGCAGATTGGTGTTTGCCATCGCAAAACCGCTGCAGGTTTGTGTTTGCCATCGCAAAACCGCTGCAGGTTTGTGTTTGCCACCGCAAAACCCCTGCAGATTTGCGTTTGCCACCGCAAAACCCCTGCAGATTTGCGTTTGCCACCGCAAAACCCCTGCAGATTTGTTTGCCATCGCAAAACCTCTGCGGGTTTGACCGCAAAACCTGCAGATTTGTTTGCCATCGCAAAACCTCTGCAGGTTTGCGTTTGCCACCGCAAAACCCCCCTAGATTTGCGTTTGCCACCACAAAACCCCTGCAGGTTTGCGTTCGCGATCACAAGGGCGCTGCAGATTTACAGCTGCTATCGCAAAACCGCTGCAGATTTGCAGCTGCAATCACAGAACCGCCCCAGATTTGCACTTTGCAATCACGAAAGCGCCGTTTGCACTTGGAACAACCCGCTGCAAAGGTAAGCTACAGGAGCAATGGAGGTAAGAGGAAGGATCAGTCTAAAAGCTGGCTCCTTCACTTTCACAGCTGGGCCCAAAGCTCGTAGAGCAGCTGGAAGAAAATTAAGGGTCTGATTCCACCTAAGACACAGATATACCTCATTTTCTGGCAACCAGTTCTTCATGTTCAGACCCTGGGCAAAGCTAATGCTGGGAAATAGCCACATGTTGGTCTGCTGCTGCCAGCTCAACCTCTCTTGCATTTTAGATCACTCCTTACAGTGATGTCCTAGTTTCGGCTGGGATAGAGTTTATTTTCTTCCTAGTAGCTGGTACAGTGCTGTGTTTTGGATTTAGTAGGAGAACAATGTTAGTAAAACACCGATGTTTTAGTTGTTGCTAAGCCGTGTTTATAGTAAGTCAAGGACTTTTCAGCTTCCCATTCTCTACTGACTGAGAAGGCTGGGGGTGCACAAGAAGCTGGGAGGGGGCACAGCCAGGACAGCTGACCAAAATTGGCCAAAGGGCTATTCCATACCATGTGATGTCATGCTCAGTACATAAACTGGGGAAAGCTGGCCAGGGGGGGCTGCTGCTCGGGGACTGGCTG